TTCATTGATACATCACCTAAAGCAACAGAAACAAAGGAAAAAATGAACACATGGGACTACATCAAACTCAAAAGCTTCTGCTCGGCAAAAGAAACAACCACCAAAATGGAAAGGCAACCCACTGTATGGGAGAGCATAATTGCCAATGATATATCAGATAAGGGTTTAATTTTCAATATATATAAAGTGCTCCTACAACTCAACAACAGGAAAACAAAGAATGTAATTAAAAAATGGGCAGACGAACTAAATGGACACCTCTCCAAACAGGATATAGAAATGGCTAAGAGACATATGAAGAAATGCTCAACATCACTAATCATCAGAGAGATGCAAATTAAAACAACAATGAGGTATCACCTAACACCTGTCAGAATGGCTGCCATGAACAAATCATCAAACAACAAGTGTTGGTGAGGGTGTGGAGAAAAGGGGACTCTAGTACACTACTGGTGGGAATGCAGACTGGTGCAGCCACTATGGAAAACAAGTGTTACCTCAAAAAATTAAATATTGAAGTGCCATTTGACCCAGTGATCCTACTTCTAAGAATATATCCTAAGAAGCCTGAAACACCAAGCAGAAAGAATATATGTACCCCCATGTTCGTAGCAGCAGTATTTACAATAGCTAAGATGTGGAAACAGCCCAGATGTCCATCAGTAGACGAATGGATAAAAAAAGTGTGGTACATATACACAATGGAGTACTATGCAGCTATAAGAAAGAAAGATCTCTTATCCTTTGAGATGACATGGAGACACCTGGAAAGTATTATCCTAAGCGAAACAAGCCAAACAGCGAAAGACAAGTATTATATGATCTCACTTATTTGTGGAATATAATGACCATAACAGTCTGAGGAATGGCATAGTCCCAGAGACATGGAAGTGAGGTACAGACTGACAATCCCCAGAAGAGGGGCTGGTGGGGGAGAGATAAACCACAGAGCTTATATGTATGTATGCATGAACAATGGACACGGACAACAAAGCGGGGGACTAGGCGGGGAGAGGGGGGTGGAATCAATCAGTGGGGGAAAAGGAGAAACATGTGTAACAAAAACAAATAAATTAACAGTAATTAAAAAAAAACAACACATTGAGATATTACCTCATCCCTGTCAGAATAGCTATGATTAATAAATCAATAAACAATTGCCTAGCCATTATGGCTCAGTGGTTGAACGTTGACCCATGCACCAGGAGATTGCTGGTTCGATTCCCAGTAAGGGCATATGCCCAGGTTGTGGACACAATCCCCAATGGGGGACAAGCAGAAGTCGGCCAATCGATGTTCTCTCTCATGGATGTTTCTCTCTCTCTCTCTCTCTCTCCTTTCCTCTCTTTCTAAATATCAGTAAAGAAAAAAACAAAAACAAAAACCAACAAGCAACGAGTGTTGGTGAGGATGTGGAGAAAAGGGAACCCTCATGCACTGTTTGGAATGCAGATCGGTGCGGCCACTGTGGAAAACAGTATGGTGTTTCCTCAAAAAACTAAAAATAGAACTGCCTTATGAAGCGAACCAGCAATTCCACTTCTGGAAATAAATCTGAAGAAACCCAAAACACTAATTCAAAAGAATTATGCACCCTTATGTTCATTACAGCATTATTTACAATAGCCAATATAGGAAAGCAGCCCAAGTGCCCTTTAGTAAATGAATGGATAATAAAAAGCTGTGGTATATTTACGTAACGGATTACCACTTGGACATAAAATAGAAGGAAATCTTACCTTCTGTGACAGCATACATGGCTCTGGAAATTATTATACTAAGTGAATAAGCCAGTCAGAGACAGACAAATACCACATGATTTCACTTACATGTAGAATATAATGAACAAAATAACTAACAAAATAGACACAGACTCATAGATTCAGAATAGGAACTGACAGCTGTCAGGTGATGGGGGAAGGGAAGTTAGGTGAAAAAAGTGAAGGGATTAAGCAAGCAAACAAACAAAAAACAGATAAAGACAACAGTATGGTGACTGCCAGAAGGAAAGGGGTTGGGGTGGAGGTAGGAGAGTAAAGGGAAGACAGGAGACTTGACTTTGGATGGTGAACACACGATGCAATACACAGATGATTATAGAGTTGTACATTTGAAACCTGTATAGTTTATTAACCAGTGTCACTCCAATAAAGGTAAAAAAAAAAACAAAAAACCTCTGAAATGATAATTATAGTAATGCTTGTATTAGTCAAGCATTCCAAAATCTCAAAACACCCCCGTATTGTTTAATGTATTTGCATACTTTTCATGAGGGTAGCTAATTATGAATTTCATAACAAGGATAATACAAAAAAAATATCAACTTTGGTAGTTTCTAAACCTCTCATCATTAAATGTAATGTTTTGTTTTTTTTTTCTTTTAGAGAGGAAGGGAGAAACATCATAGGCTGCCTCCTGCAAGCCCCTTGCTAGGGATTGAATCAGGACTTCTCAGTTCATAGGACAGCGCTCAACCCACTGAACCACACCGGCCGGGCTCATCATTAAATCTTTTAATGTTAAATAAGTTAATAGCCAAAAAAAAGGGGGTGGGGGCTATTCCCTGTTAGTATAACAAACTCAGTCCTGGACTCCTCATAGCTTGTTCGAGTAAACTGAGATGAAGGTAAGCACAGCAGTATTGCTTTTCATATCCACACTGTGAGAGAGTGAGTTTGGATTAAATTAAGCAGTGCTATTGAAATGAATTTGTATTAGTACAACAAATTCATCCCCAGACATTCTTTTCAATGTCTGTTAGAGCAAACTGAGATGAATGTAAACACAGTAACACACATTCATCTCTTTTTTTTTTTAATCCTCTTTGGCAGATATTTTTCCATTTTTTTGTTCAGATAGAGAGGGAGGGTGAGAGAGGGAGAGAAGGAGAGAAAAACATCAATGTGAAACAGACATAGTGACTGGTTGCCTCCTGCCCCGACCAGGGCTGGGGATGAACTGCAACCAAGGTATGTGCCCTTGACCAGAATCGAACCCATGACTCATTGGTCTATGGGCCAATGCTCTAACTGCTGAGCCAAATTGGCCAGGGCTCAATTCACATTCTTGCTGAGAGGCAGAACAAATTCAAATGAACCGAAAGAGTAATACTGAAGAGAATCCTTACTGCTTGGTGAAACAAATGGACTTGTTTCCCTCAAAAGCACGTTTATGGTGAATCTTAGCAATATGGACAAAGATACTGTATTAGTGCCGACTTCAGTCTTGGCCATTGCTTCTCACTGTAGATAAACCAAATTTAGATGAACATAGTGTGTATGTGTACAATTTAGGTATACATGATAAAATCAAGGTCAGCCAGACATTGGGCTGATGGGATATTAAGACTGATTAGTCCCAGGTTTGGAGAGTAAGGTTATCAAAGTAGGGTTCAATGTTAACTTCAAACTCAGGAATATGATTAGGGTCAGTTTTAATGTCATTTCAAGAGGACCATAATTATAGGATGACTGTCAGTAACAAGATGAGGGTGACAATAAGAGTCAAGGTCAGTTTAAGATTTAGATTAAAACTAGGGTGAACTATTACTGGGATCAGGGCCACTTATAAGGTTACATTCATGCTTATTTCAATATAAAGCAGGTTAATGTTAGTATGATCATCAGTTTTAGGATGGTGGTCGAGATCAGTAGTCAAGTTCGATTTCCATGTCATGTTCAAGATTAGGACCAGAGGAACAGATCAGAGAGGAAAAGTAAGCCTGGTTTGTAGAGATAAGCATCGCACAGGGTCCATAAACCATGGCCCAGTCATTGGGCTCGAAGTTGGAAAGGACTCTGCTTTTCTAGAAGTCAAACAGAACACCAATCAGGCCTAGTTCAGGGAGTGGGATCAGAGATTTAAGCCACACATCCCCTAGCCATACGGAATTGTAGTTGTGAGTTAATAAGAATGCTATTGTTGTTATTGTTAATCCTCACCTAAGGACACTTTTCCATTGATTTTTAGATAAGAGTGCAAGGGATGGGGGAAGAGAGAAACATCAATGTGAGAGACACATGGATTAGTTCCCTCCGACAGGACCTTGACTGGGTCTGGGGATCGAACCAGCAACCCAGTCACATGCCCTTGACTAGGAATCAAACCCGAGACTTTTCGATTCTTGGGCCAATGCTCTAACGGCTGAGCCAAACCGGCCAGACAAGAATGCTATTTTTAATGCATGAAGTATGAGTCAAGAGTAGGTACAAGAAAAGAAACCAACTGAGGAGCCTGAGAGGTGGAAGTGTAGCAAAGTAGAATCTAAGAGCTATGTCAACAGGGCACTTCTGCAAAATCTACACCCACTTACTGAAATGCTACTATTTTTAAAACTGGTTCTAGGTGGCATTTATTCAGCTGCAGTTGGTGGCTTATATATGCTGGAATACAGGGCCCCTGCTGTCACATCTTTCCCTCTTGTGAAAAACAGAAATCCAGAATTATGTAACATCTAAATACCAGCAACTACACCAATTAACAAACACAACGGGTAAGTTACACTTATAGGCTGTGCATGTTTGTGGCTGCTCCTCTAAAGGGACAGTATGTTTTCCATTCAGGCCTCTACCCCAATACTATGATTAAAAAGACAAAAACCTCTTGGCTGGTGTGGCTCAGTGGTTGAACATCGACCCATGCACCAAGAGGTTGCCAGTTCGATTCCTGGTCAAAGCACAAGCCCAGGTTGTGGGCCCCATCCCCAGTGGGCGGCATGCAGGAGGCAGCCAATCGATGTTCTCTCTCATCAATGTTTCTGTCTCTCTCTCTTCCTCTCTAAAATCCATAAAGAGAAAAGAAAAAAAAAGACAAAAACCAAAAACAAACTAGGGACAGGTACTATAGGACTAGATATGAGTAGGCCTTTCTGTCTCAAAGTACCACATGTGTCCAGTTATGGAGAGCTCTTTTGCTTAATAAAGCGTTGGATATGATTAGCTAACAAAGTGTCCACTGAGCCAATGGTCTGGAAGAAGGACAAAAGACAGGGCAAAGGCAGATGATCTTTGCTCTTGTTACATTTTATTGGCATCACGTTCATCTCTTTACAGAAAAACTCGGCCCACACCCTAGAATGTAGACCTTTGGAAAAAAGGAAGTGCTTCATTAAGCAAGCTACAATGCAGGGGCAGATTCTAGGGAAGGTGCAAAACTGCCAGGGTTCCATACCAAAGAAACTGGTTAATTAATAATAGGCAATACTGGGGAGTCAGTGGGGAAAAGGAGAAAAAGGTTTGCTAATCTAAGGATAACACAACCCTGAAAGGAGTGCCTTCTAGAACAAAGGTAAAAATCACTAGGACAGATCTGTTAGGATTTTCCTTTTCCTCTTATAAGTAAAGTGTTGATCTAATGGGAACTTTCAAAGTGTGAAACGGGGGGGGGGAGGAATAAAGGAGAATTTAAAAAAATTATTATTTATGCACTGCACACATCACTGTATTATGCAAATCAACCTTTTGGGAAATTTAGATACAGAAGGAAACTAGACAGTTTTCCCCCTGGAGAGATGAAAAGCTTTTTGGCTCTTAAGTCTTTGATAAAAGGTGTACATAATTCTTGTGCCTACTGTACAGAATACTGCCTCTAGCTGGATTTCTGAATTCTGAGTTGCTAACACTCTGCAATCCAGACAGGGTTCAACCCTCCATCTGACACGCCTGCATTACAGGACTTAAACACATAATCCAAGAATTTCTTACACTAATTTATACATTTTTAATTGGTTGCATATATTAACATGTACTATAAGATTCTTTTCTAAGAAGCATTACATAATAAATGGATACTGTAAAAAGATCTGATTAGTTAAAAGTAACAAGCATTAACAGATACATACAAAACTCAGCCTGATCAGACTGGGTGTGAGCCTGTAATGAAGCATGGGGCACCAGCCTTCCCAAGTGATAGCCTTCACAAGAGGGGTTGGGGATGGGGTAAAAAGATCAAAAGATCATTAAAAAAAAAAATCAGGTAACTAATTAGACACAGATTAACTGTAAACAGTTCTCTCCCTGGTGGACAAAAAGAATAAGCTTCTGATGTCAACTGTACACCAGAATAATTTCTACAGTTGGCCCATCCTGCTGCCACATGAGGACTGATGTAGTGGGTGGGCAGACCCTAATGGAGCCATCACAGGCCTGGGCTGCTGGAGTCTGCCTGCTTGTATGTGTATTGTGTGGAGGAGTGAGTGTGTTTGTGGGGTTTCTTTTGGCAGCTGGATATGAGAGATCATTTTATGGTTTGTTTGAAATAGGAGAAGGGGGGTTTTGTGTTGGAAGGCCTACGTGTGTTCTTGGTTTGTGAAGGGCTCTGTGCTCTGCTCTCACTGCTCGTTCAGCAACTGCAGCTTTCTGCCGAGGCTTTGGCCCGGTCATTCTTGTCCAGTTTGATGGGTTCAGGAAATTCATTGTACAGCTCCACCTCTGTTTCCTGGGCAAGGAGAGAGACAGAAAGATTTGTTACTCAGGGCACTGGGGAATTCCTGTGGCATACTTCCACCTAGGCAAAGTGGGTAGGGAGCGGGAACAGACCTAGCAATGAAGGGAGGGCTCTGGAAGAAGGTACTCAACACTTAAAGGCTGAGCAAGAGGAATAAAGGTTTTGTGATAATTCCAGGACAATGTGAAAAGAGAAATTCAGCAGGAAAAGCAGCAATTGACACTGAGCAGTCAGGACAGAAGCTGTCTCATGTTCTGCATCAGATCACAATCTGGTGTCTTGGAGACCACAGCCAGCTCACAGATGCTTTCAGTATGGTCCATGAAGTCACCAAAACAAAAAGAAGTTGGACTATATGGCCTGGATTTTCGGCAACTCTTAGTCAGCATTTCCACAAGGCAACAGTAAGCTGATGCTGAATGCTAGCTGCCCCTGTCCCAAAACATTCTTCTAGTTCTCTATTTGCCACTCGTTTATCTGGATTTAGGGCATATTCCCCACCCTCACCAATCCCAAAGATTTAAGAGAGTTTTGTTTCCAAATGCTGCATGTTTAGAAACCAGCTGTGGGTGAATTTTATCAGCATCTGTGGTAAGAGATTACAGGAGAGGGGACTATGGCACTTTAGTGGGACTTTTGCTGAATTACCATTTTTCCAGTGAGGAGCAGGTTTTTACTTCCTGGTGTAGGAAAAAATTTGTCACTTAAGCACTGAGCACTTGTGTGCCAGGACTGTTCTAAGATTTGCAGGGAATATTTCTAGTCATTAAAAGTTCTCTTGGAAAAATTATTCCATTCACAATAGCTATAAAAGTAAAAAAAATATTCTAGTAATAATATTTTTAAAAATTAGCTTCCCTTCTCCACCTGACACTCCCAACTCTTGTTAACGACTTACCTACTTTCTGTTTTAATAGATTTGCCTATTTTGGACATTTGGATGTTTGTTTGGGCTGTTTCTACTTTTTGGCCATTATGAATAATGCTGTTAGGAACATTTGTGTACAAGTTTTTGTGTAAACCTCTTTTCATTTCTCTTGGGTATATACTTAGAAATGAAATTGTTGGGTCATATGGTTACTCTTATGTTTAATTTTTTGAGGAACTGCCTAACCGTTTTCCAAAGTGGCCGCATCATTTTACATTCCCACCAGCACCTAAGAATACATTTAATATGAAAGGCAAAGGATCTGAAAAATTGTAAAATCTTATTGAAGGATGTAATACAAGACCTAAAATAATAGCGGTTACGGGCTGAATCTCCGTATCCCTCCAAAATGAGAATGTTGAAGTTCTACCACCCATTGTGATTATATCTGGATTAAGAAAGTAATTAAGGTAAAAATGAAATCACAAGGGCCCCGATCTGACAGGATTACTATGTCCTTATAAGAGACATCAGAGTTCTCTCTCTCTCTCTTTCCCTACTATCCCCACCCTCTGCATGTCGGCACAGAAGAAAGGCCAGGTGAGGACACAGGGAGTTGGTGGCAGTCTGCAAGAGATGAAAATAAAAAGAATTTGCTGGCACCCTAATTATGGACTTCTGGTCTCCAGAACTGAGAGAAAATAAAATTTTGTTGTTTAAGCCAGACTGTATTTTGTTATGGCTTCCAGAGGATACTAATACAACAGCTATAATGCAATTCCAATCAGAATCTCAATTAGGGTTTTATTTTCAGGGAGGGTGAAGAAAGAAAAAGGTGAAATTAAAATAAAATTCTTAGTCTAAATGGAAAATGTACCAAAATAGCCAGTAAATAAATATAATCATACTATAAAGGTAGTCAAATCAAGATGGTCCAGGCAAAGAACACCTAAGTCACCAGAACAGACTGGGAAGACCGGAAATAGATTCCAATACACACAAATATTTAATATAACAAAAGTAATGTTTCAACCCGGTGGAGAAAGTGGTTTATTTAACAACTAGCTACTAATATTTGAAGTAATTGGCTATCCCTCTGAAAGGAAAAGGTGAGTCCCTATTTCTTTCCATAAGCCAAAATAAATCCCAGCTGAATTAGACAACATGTGATCTACATATAGGATACCCAGAAATTTAAAATGACATACCCTACTAAAAAATTACTTTTTTCCTATGGCCAAAAGATAGATATAGTATACAAAGACAGCAGAGCTGGAAAAATCACTTGCAATACAGGTGAAATTAATTCAGTTCACAAACACTGATAAGAGCCCAGGAAAATGCTAAATACTGGTTTATCTGCAGAAGAGATAACCCAAAGATTGAGTCAGCAGAGTTACAGACAATGCCTACCATTTGCTCACAAGGAGGTAAGAGAAAGAAAACTTATATACCTGGCAGGAACTAAAGTATTACTGCCTTTGGGGAAAACAATCTGGTATCATCCCTTAAAAACACACATAACTTTCAATCTAACAATCTCACTCCTGAGAGACTAGCTTGTAGAAATAAAAGCATTATAATAAGGCTGTAGAGACAGCAATATTTGAAGAGAAAAACAGTGATGGTAGTCAACAGGGAACTGGTAGAAAACACTCCCCATACATATTTAGTTTTGCATGCAATCAGAAAATACACACTAGGTTATTAATCTAGGTGTGAGGGTGGATTAAAGCCAGGGGGAAAGAGGGAGACAAAAAGGCCTTAAATCTGCATCCTGGTCAGTTTCTTCCCACTGTATCAGTGTTTCTCAGACAGGATCTCCTGGCATTTTGGGTGGACCAACTCTTCATTGGGTAGGGCTGTCCCTTTTCATTATGGAGCACTCAGTGCAGCTCCCAGTCCTTGAAACCACTCATTCCAAATATCTCCCTGCCCACAGGTCCAGATGCCCTATCCCACTGAGAACCACTGCCATCTACATACACTGTTTACTGGAAATAGCAGAAACCACCTGGCCCTTTACAACCACTATGTGTTCCCTCAAGTGTTCTCTGCACTCCTGATGTACACCTCACCTTACACCCCTTGTCTGACTACCACATACGACCAACAATGCTTCAAGATTTGCCTTACCTACTGGCCCTAATGGAACTGCTAAATCGAAAAAGCATTCAACTCCTACATGCCAACAAGTACCATTCTGCCTGTGAACAGTTGAGTGAACAACACAAAAAAAGAAAATGCAGGAAAATTTTATTCAGGGAATGCAACTCCTAGAGCTTCTGGTTAACCTTTCTGATGACAAAAGTAAGTCCATCTCATTTAATCTTACACTCATTGTGCAAAGCTGGTATTCTCATTTTACAGATGAGGGGATGGAAGCTCATATATGATTTTTAAAAACTAGATCTAATGATGGGTAGCAGAGCTGGGATTCGAATTCAAATTTATCCCTTCCATAAACAGCAGCGATCGGACCAGGGACCTCCTAGTGGCCTGATTTCCTTAGCACACAATAAGAATAAGAACATGCCCAAACAAGGTTAAGCCCTCAGCTGAAGTCTTCATTGTCCCTGCATCATTCTGGTTATTCACAAACATGGAATTTCTAGAAGCTTGGCAGGATGTGCCATTACCTTCTCAGATAAACATACAGGTTTTTTGGGTACATGGAAAAGAGAGTCAGCTAGGAAAGAAGATTAAGAATAAGGAAGCCAGGCATGGGCTGGGTCAATGGTCAATCACCACAGGGAGCCAGACAGCCGCCAGAGACCCACCTGTTTCAGTGCATTCCGTGCAATTGTCTGGAATGCCTGCTCGACATTGATGGCCTCCTTGGCACTGGTCTCAAAGTAGGGAATGTTGTTTTTGCTGTAGCACCAGGCCTGCGCTCGTTTCGTGGCTACCTGGAAGAGGAAGCAGGGTGGCACATGTGTTCATTAGAAGCAGTTGGCACTGATTCAATCCTTCCCAGGAAAGATTATCATCCCTAGTCTACAAGTAGCACAGGTGAGAAAACACACTTCAGGCATGAGGATGTGCAGCGGGTAGGGATGGAGAGAGACCTGTTGCTAATGCATAGTATAGCTAGGATTCAAACCCAAAGCCCATTCTCTGTCCACAACCCATGGCTTTTGACACTTAGCTACAAAAAGTTGCTTGTGAAGGGAATAAGAAGCCATCCCAGGAAGAGGTCCCAGGCACAGGAAATTCCAGACAGCTTGGTCTTAAGGTTTGCAGTCCCTTTCCCATTACTGTTAATGTTACATCACCTGTGCCAGACACCACATGCCAAAGAATTCTGCAGCTCTCAACAACACCCCTGCCTCTTATATCCTAATTCCTTCCCTTTCCCCAGTCCATTTTCAGGTACAAGAGCAGGACTATCACTTAGGAAAGAGAGTAAAAGAGATCATTGGTCAGAAATAAACCTAGCTATAATTAAGAAAAAGTCTATTTTCCCAAGAGAAATGCCATTTAAAAATAAACCAAAGTAATTTCATGAAAAACTCAAAGCAATTTTCTGTACCAATGAAGATCCAGGCAGGTCCTTGAGGCAGTGGGAGAGCACTTAAAAATGACAAAATCTAATTCCTTTAAGTGCAGAAAGGGAACTGAGGCTCGGAGGTCAAAGGCAACATCACAGCCAACTGGGGCAGCATTGGGACTTAAACCAGGTCTCCTGGGCCCTTGTCCTTAAAGGCTACTGGTCTGAAGGTAGTTCACACTCTCATGTGCAAATACTAGAAAAATTTTTGGCTTAGCACAGAACCCTTCAAATTCACATGGTACCTTAGAAGCAGGTGTCTCTCAAAGGAGAGGAAAATAACAATGGGACAATTGGAAAGCCACCATTTCCTAAGCTCCTCGTGGGTGCCAGGGCTTTCAAGTGCACTGTTACCTGATCCCAGAGTGTTCTCATGATATAAATGAAGACTCAGAGTCTAAAAAATATTTCTATACTAATATTAAGAATGCATGAGCCAGGCTTTAAATTCAATCCTTCTTTTATTTATTATTTTTTTGTTAATCCTCACCCAAGGATATTTTTTCCATTGATTTTTAGAGAGAATAGAACCAGGGAGGGGGAGGGGAGGGAGGGAGGAAGAGAGAGATTAGTTGCCTCTCACACACACCCCAACCAGGGCAGGGGATCAACCTGCAACCACATGCCCTCAACAAGGAATCAAACCCGTGACCCTTGGGTGCCGTGAGATGACACTCTAACCACTGATCCACAATTCTGCCTTTAAATCCAAAATACCACACAGCCTCAAGTCAAAGTATTTCACTGGACAGACCATGGGGGTGGCCAATATAGGCAGCACCACAGAATGGACTTGTTGCTTTGCTGGCATGACTTCAAAGGGAATACCACTGCACACTTCACTGTACCCGTTTTACCATAGGGGAAGCCAACATAGTATGCCTTTACAAAGTTAGAGAACAAGTCCCCATCCAAGGACTGAGCGTGTAACTCATTAGCTATCCCTTCCCTCCACTCCCACCACGGGGGCTCACACAGACATATTAGATACTTATCTTTGTGACATGTGGCATTATATCAATCAAAGCTAAAAACAGCACCTGTCAACTCCAACTTAGCTGTCACTTTTAAAAGAAGGCCTTTTCTATGACCCAACAGCCATAACCTACATGAGGGTAGGTTCATAAGCCTCCACATTTATGATTCACACCATCTTTAACACTTACTTGTCTGTTTTCAAGGTCAATCTTATTTCCCAACACCACGAAAGGAAAGTTTTCAGGATCCCGAGGACTGGCCTGGATGAGAAACTCATCTCTCCAACTATCAAGGGTTTTGAACGTGTTGGGGGCAGTCACATCAAATACCAGAACACAGCAGTCTGCACCTCTGTAGAAAGCCACACCAAGAGACTGGAACCGTTCCTGTCCTGCTGTATCCCAGATCTGTAAGAGACAAAACATTATTCCTTGGGGTGAGAGCACCAGGAGTGAGGGGAGGCCAGAGAAAATGAGATGGATTACAGGGCCACCCAAAGACAAGCAACTTTAGCCTTCAGGAAACAGATTTCACCACCGGAGTATCCACAACAACCCTGACAAATAGCACATATGTGAATACATGTGTCTAAGAGGAATGACAATGAGTTTGAACTCTGGGATCCTAGAAAAAATTTTTTTAATCTTGATCCAGGTGGTAGTCGCATTGGTAGACATTTATGTAAAATTCACACATAGACTAAATTATGTACTCTGGGAACTTTCTGGTGGGCAACAGAAATATAGGGAAATGATTTCTCACTAAATTGTATATATAAATCTCTGCATTTTACTACATATAGTTTATCTAAAACAAATCAGTATGTTTTATTTATACTTCAAATAAAAAACAAAGCAAAGAAACAACCCTGACAGGGACATAAAGAAAAAGACAACAGAAACACATTCTAGAGTACAGATGAAAATCAGCTTTTATTTTATTTTATTTGTTAATCCTTATCTGAGGATATTTCCCTACTGATTTTTATAGAAAGTGGAAGGGAGGGAGGGAGAGAGAGAAACATCGATGCAAGAGAGACACATCGATCTGTTGCCTCTCACATGACCCCGACTGGGGCCAGGGATCGAACCAGCAACCCAAGTACGTGCCCTCAACCGAAATTCAAACCTGCAAACCTTCAGTCCACAGGCTGCTTTAACCACTGAGCCAAACCAGTACTAGTGACCAGCTCAAAGAACTATGTATCATTCATTGCCATGTTAGGTTCAAGAGCAAGGATGGATTTCCTCACTGACCTAGATCTCTAACAGGGCCACCCTGGTCAGCCTGGAGAGATGACTAGGTGTTCTGAGGAATGGTCTGACACCCCCCAGCAAGCCAGTTGGTTCAAAAAGAGTGGCTGGGTCAGAAGCCCCATGCAGTTACTTCCAGCTGACATGGGTCTTCAACTGTTGGATTCACAGTCTGTTTGCTGGGAAACCACTTAGGAAGACATGAAAACATGGACTGACCTAACCCAAATAAATTCCAACTTTATATATCCAAACCACCAGCTAACTCCTCCAAAGGCCCAGGGTTCAAACCAAAACAGAATATGGACTGGGCAACTACAGTGTTATATCCAGAAACAGATTTTGCAGAAGGGTGGTCGAGCTCTTCTGTGAAGCCGTTCTTAGTCAGTCCTGCCTCCCTGTGATCCAGGAGGAACATGTCAACTACACCCAGGTCACACATCAGTTCAGGTGGTTAAAGCCTCATTATATAAAATGAGGGTATGATGTTTGGTTAAAAAAACGTAAATATGCATAAATGTAATAAAGTAGGACACAGCCATATTACAGGATCCACATTTCTTTATTACTATCAAGCTAAACAAAGCTCATGTCTTATTTTAAGTACCTACACTGTGGGGTTTTATGTAGCTGAAACATTATACCACACATCACTCTATAAGTTCTCTCATATCACTCTTTTGCCCCGCAAAACACCACAGCACTTGCATCAGCAACAATTTGAATCTTTACTGTTGCTCAACAAACTCGGAAAACAAACTCAGCAAACAATTGTATTCCTGTTTTTCACAAAAAGACTGCTGCCAATTTTCCATAATTATAAGTATCTCAAAAATAAACATGAATATACAGAGCCTTTTCTGTATTTCAGATTGCTTCTTTAGGATGGAATCCCAAGAGGAGAACTATGTAAGAACTCTTGGGTGGAAGCAGATGGGTATCTGGAACTCAGATATACAGAGAAGGCAAAGTAAAAAAATTTTTTAAAAAGCTGAAATGTTGGAACAGGGTTATTCTTAGCAAGTTTCCAAAATTAATTTAACTTCAAATTTAGAAAAAAAGTTCTATGGCTGTGATCTCTTTAAATTTTTAATATTTTAGCCCAGCTGATGTGGCTCAGTGGTCAACCCATGCACCAAGAGATTGCCATTTTGACTCCCGGTCAGGGCACATGCATAGCTTGTGGGCCAAATCCCCAGTGGAGGGCATGCAGGAGGCTGCCAGTTGATGTTCTCTCTCAGCGATGTTTCTGTCTCTTCCCCCTTCTTCTTTCCACTCTCTAAAAAAATAAAGAAAAAAAATTTTAATATTCTAACTGAAACATTTTATTTTTTTACATTCAAAATGCACCTACTACTCAAATGTAAAAAATACTAACATTGTCATTTTAATGTCAGTTTTTTAAAGTTAACCCTTCCTCACAGCATTCCTTTTCCTTCCTCTACAGAAGTAGCTCCTGAACCTAAGTAGTATGATCATGTACATCTTATTTGCAACTTGCTTTTTTTATTTTCCATAAGTTAAACACTATGTAGTATTCCATTGTCTTAATATACCACACTTTATTCCCTAGTCATCTGAGATATTTGCAGTTTTCGTTATTATACACAAGGCTGCAATGAACATTCTTACTACACTTCTCTTCTTGTGCTCACAGATAATTTTCTCTAGAATTGCTAGATTGCACAAGCTCAACACTGGAAAGCAAAATGGTAGTATTAAGCCTTGGCCAGGTAGCTCAGCTGGTAAGAACATCATCCCAATATACCAAAGTTGCGGGTTCAATCCCCCAGTCAGGGCACATACAAGAATCAAAAGAATCAACCAGCTCAGTTGGTGTGCCTCAGTGGTTGAGTATTGACCCATGCACCAAGAGGTCGCTGGTTCGATTCCCGGTAAAGGCATATGCCCATGTTGTGGGCCCAATCCCCAGTGGGGGGCATGCAGGAGGTGGCAGAAGAATACATAAATTAGTGGAAAAACAAATCAATGTCTTTCTCTCTCTAAAAACGATTTTAAAAAATAAAAAAAGGTAGTCTCTATTTAAAAAAAGCTGCACTAATACATTCCCACCACCAGCTTAAGAATATTCTAGTGAAAACCTGTAATAACTTTGGTAAGTCAAGGTCTGAATATTTTCTACATGATGGGCTATGCTTCTAACATGCCATGATAGTTCTTATAGTTCTATAAGATGCCCTTATAGTTCTATTGATAATTTTACAGTATATGTTGCTGCTTAGGATCAACAATTTCAAATGAAATCTGAAATTTGAAATGGATTTTATTTTAAATCTATTTGAGTTGTTAGTGCTGTCTTAAAGGCTTGGGCTAGGTTTTCTTTTTCTCTTCCTCTAGAAAGATCACTTTACAACAAATACATATGGTTTCTTAAGTGATGCAAAGCCATAATGCCTTTGTCTGTGATATTCCCATATGAAATGATTTCCAACAAGCTTTTTTGTAAATTTTCAAGTATGCTAAGTCTATCTAGTCATCCTATAGGCTCTCCATGTGATTAAATCTAATGCTCATGATACAAGAGCCAGTGGGGCCCTGGCCAGTTTGGCTCAGCGGTTAGAGCGTTGGCCTGCAGTCCAGAGAGACCCGGGTTCGGTTCCCGCCAAGGGCACGTACCTCAGTTGCAGTTTGTCCCAGGCCCTGGTTGGGTTGTGTGGGTGGCAGCCACTCGATGTGTCCCTTTCACATCAATGTTTCTCCCCCCCTCCTTCCTCTCTCTCCCTCCCACTCTATCTAAACAAAGAAATGGAAAAATGTCCTTGGGTGAGGATAAAAAAAAAAAAGCAAGCCAGTGGGATCAACCATCTGAATCTTGCATTTATCCAGAGGGCCAATTAGGGGGTTGCTGTAGTCCTGCCTGGTCATGGCAGCTCACCATGATCCCACAGCACAGTAGTCACTTGGAACCTGCCCTGTTGGGGCTGACATCCCTGATGTGTTCATGATCTGCTTTATTAAACACTAATCAAGGGTCTGGAGTCACATGACAATGGGTTTAAGTCTTACAGTTTAAGCCAGAACATTTCCCAAGAGCATCACTTGATAGGAAGGGAGGAAAGGAAGGAGGAACAAATAGAGCGAGCTTCCCCTGTGCCTAAAGCAGCACTAACCTGCCCTATCGGCCTTTTATTATTTATTTTCTTTAGAGAAAGAGTGAAACATCAACGTGAGAGCAAAACATCGATCACCTGTCTCCTCCACTCCCCCTACCCAGGATCGAGCCTGCAACCCTTTGGTGCACGAAACAATGCCCAACCAACTGAGCCATACCAGCCAGGGACCCATCAGCCTTTTAAATCTGCAAATGCCTGAAGTACAGTCACTAAACATTAAGAGGTTTCTACTGAGAGTTGTTTAAGTCATCCACCAGATTCTCTGTCCAATGGACACTATTATGCGTTATCAACATTTTTTCCTGGTCTAAAGTGTTTTCTTTAAAATTTAGGAATCTGCCCTGGCTGGTTTGGCTCATGGACCAATGAGTTGTGGGTTTGATCCCAGCCAAGGGCACGTGCTTCATTTGCGGTTTATCTCCAGCTCTGGTCGGGGTCATGCAGGAGGCAACCAATTACATTGACGTCAGTGGTGGAGCATCGACCCATGCACCAAGAGATCGCCAGTTCGATTCCCAGTCAGGACACATGCCCAGGTTGTGGGCCCAATCCCCAGTGGGGGGCATGCAGGAGGCAACCAATCGATGTTCTCTCTCATTGATGTTTCTATCTCTCTCTCCCTCTCAGTTCCTCTCTCTAAAATCAATAAAGGAAAAAAAAAACTTTTTAAAACATAAAATTTAGGAGTCTTGTTAATCGAATGTTTAATTTAATGTGGTCTCCTATTGATCTTTCTGACTTGTGCTTTCTCTATTTTAAAAGCTTAAGGTAAATAAAAGACTCTGTATTTTCATTTCTCAAGTTTTCATTTTGTATTTTTGCTATCCAGGTCTTGAACCCTCTGACTATTCCCCACCTAAATGGAAAGCCACTGGCCCAGGCTTGTTGACTGTGTAACCCCTCCTCTTTTCCCTAACCTTCTTTGAAGCCTGCTCTCTATCCATGTCTTCCTAGATATGCCCTGCTTCTGTGTTCTTGCTCCCTTGATCTGTGTATCTGTGACACTATCACACTATTTAC